CGGCAGCTCCTAGTCCGGTGGGTCGGACCTTTTCAGTGGAGGAGGTCAAGTTGCACTCGTTCCTGATACGCCACTTGCTGACGCGAGCGGTTCATGAAGTCCATGGATCTCGTTTGAAATTCTACCACGACCCCAGCCTGGAGCTCTCGGAGGAGCTAGTGGAACATATTGCCAAGCAGGGCATTGTGCTCGGCGTTGAAGCCATCCTCCAACACCGGTACAACGAGACGTCCCGTCAACACGAGCTGCTGATTTCATGGGTTGGGCTCGAGTCCATTGAAGACTCATGGGAACCGCTCGACGTTATGTTAGCAGACATCCCGACTAAGGTGAAGGAGTATGCTGCGAGCCAAGACGACGCGGAGCTACGGGGTCTGTGCGGTCTCCAAGCTGTGTCACAGCAGTAGACGAGTTTGTCTACATGTGTCGACAATTGTGCTGGACTGTGTTTTGGTGGGCGGTGTGGCGCTGTGAATCTTCAAACACACCCAGCGACTGGTGGCAGCCTGGCGCCAGGATGCGATCCAGTCTCTCAGGGTGCGGAAGGATAGCTAGCGCCGCTTTCATGTTTTGCGTTGCTCTCAGAATTCAATTTGCTTTCTCAGTGCATTGGTCGTCATAACATTAAAATTTTGAAAACCCAAAAATCAAATATGAGTCGAGCGAACCCAGGTGCAAAATGAGATTGATTTTATCCAAAGTGGACAGAAGCGAGAGGCAAGCCTCAATCTTACTGTCCGTAAGAACACGGCGCTTTTCGGCGGAGGAGTGCTTGAGGAAGGAGGCTTGGGCGGACATCTGCTGCGGTGGCGGTGGAATTGGAAGTGAGCTTCTTGATCTCGCTGGTGGCGTTCAAAATTTTAATGTTCACTTTGCTTGAATTTATTCCTAGCTAGACCGGGCAAAGGTGTAGAAGTATAGGAAGGGTTTCATACAAATTGTCAGTCAAACTGCAGTACAGTGGCGTGGCATACCCCGACTAAGATGATATTTGAGGTGAATGTTACCTGTGGCGGCAGGTTGTGTGGAGCACCCCAAATAGCAACATTCGAGCGACCTACGTAGAAATTTTGCGTTAACCGATCAGAATGTAATGATAGAAAAATACATTAACGGGGTGGGTGCATGGTGTGGTGGTTGGCGAATCCACAACCTGTATCCTAGCAAAGCTTAACTAGGCGCCACTACTGGATACCCATGATCGGGCTTGGGATTGGCTGCCTGGCTTTCCTGGGCTGCCAGCAATGGCAGGTAAGGGCAGGCAGTAGATTAGTATCAGTTCTCAATTAGCATCCCAAGGAACAAGCAATACACGTTGTACTTGGTGAGAGTTCCAGCTCCCAATCAACCGTGTTATACTTGCCTCAAGGTGCAACACGTCACACATGGTCGTAGCGATAAACATCAGTCATGTTGCATCTTTTGATGGACAGAGTACGACTTCACCGCTTCGCTATCATGATTTTTCTCTCACTTCCATTTCGCGTTCGACCACTAAACCAAGCACTGGAACTCATCACTAACCGAATTTACTACCCATTTTAAGCGGTTAGCTACGGCGGCGAATTGGAGCAGTAGCTAGCTACGGCTGTTCAAAGGCGATGCTGACCGGAAGTCTGTGACCGATCAGCTACAGCGTTCGATGACTTCGTGAGGCCCTACGAGTGCTACGGCAAGTCCATCATCAAGGCCACGGCCAACACCTACGGGGCTCCTTCTTTCTACGCTCTTCACCCGCGCGCAACGTGTTTACCCCTCCTGTTCTGAACCACGACGTCGCTGACGACCTGAGACTGTGGCTTGGCGTGTTCTTTGCATCACGCCTTGCGAACGCCATCATGCTGCTCCACGTGCACTTCTACATCCAGTTGATCGACTGGCGGTGTCGCTTAAGTTTTTGTTTGTTTTTGAATTGAGGATCATTATTGTCACTTAGCTAATACGATCGCTAACGACTACTAAAGACCGGGGACCTCACCTGTGCCAATATGCGTCACTAGGAAGCGGTGTCGCTTTAGAGGCAGCTCTTCAGGGAGGCCGTGCGTCACAGCATCCAGAGCGGAGGCGACTCCAAGGCCGTGGGCATCTCCAACCTCTTTTCTTCAGATGTCGACAAAGTGCTCTGGGCGGCGTTCGAGATCAACCTCGAGTGGATCATCCCTGGTTGTTGTTTTCATGTTGTACGACCTTTTGATTTGAACTTGTTGCGATTTAGTCGGCTATCTACACCCGGTGCTGAGGGGGCACGACCTCATCGGCGTTGCTGCCTTTGCCGGGCTTGCGTGCGACTATCAGGAATTTCGTGTACATTGGTGCGCTCAGCATCTTCGTGCTGTGGTACACTCCGTTGAGTGTCTCGGTCGCTCGCAGTGGTAGGAGAACGAGTTGACGGTGGGAAGTTTTTACAGCAATCGCTCTGTTTAACTCCCCATGACTCGCTGAGAGACTTGAATTATACCGTGTGGGCATCTCTTTTCTTCCTGTTGGATCAGGTCCACCAATTCAGTATTTTATATTTAAAAAATAACAGTAGAATGAGAGCGAATATATTTCGAATACTTTAAACTTCAGAGCTTCTTCGGGCCGCAGGCTTTGTTTCGAAATACGAATGTAGAATAAACCGTCGTCCTGGCAGTACAAAGAGCCGAGTGCAGTTGCTACTTCCGGCAATCACGCACTTCAACAGCAAATATTTTCAATACTTAAGTTGGGAAACTAATGATTCGTAACCTAAAGTATAATAAAGTGCCAGGGTAGTGTCAACGCGGGTGAACTGAAGCACCAAATGGCTACATTGAGCTAGAAACTACTAGACAGTTAACATGAAGTTACCCCAAAGGTGGCGGCATCATTTTCGTTGCTTGCGGCTTGATTGCTCCTTTACTCACCTACGAATCGGTGCTTTGACGATGTTGTCTTCTGGTTGCCGTGGAGGATAATCACTGTGTTGCGAGGTTAACGGATAGACTAGGGGGAGAGGAGTGTGGAGGAGTCGTCAAAAGACGAAGTGAGTTAGATTAGAGATGGCGCACTGCCAGCAGCAGAGTTTAGATGGTTGGTTCTAGCAAAACTACACTGGTACAGACTATACAGCATAGTTACTCCTTGACTAACAGCTTTGAAGGAACCTTTTGTATCAGATCATCCGCTTCCAGAGGTAGTTGGTACTATGTGCCACTATGTAAAGGGTGCAAACATTGACAGCCTCCCTGCATCTTTGCATATGATTGGCGCATACACGAAGGCATGCAATATTACAGGTCTCTGGAGAATCTCGTTGCAAACGCCTCAGTCTTCAAAGAGTCGTCTACCAAGGAAGCCCCTGAGCTAGCTGCTCCGACTTAACCCACTCAGCCCTGCTGTGTTGGGAAGAAGGGCTTCACGGGCAGGCCATGGCGACACTCTCGAAGACAGCGCAGTCAGCAGCAGTGGTGCCGGGCACGCCGTCCTCAGCGCCGAAAGGCCTGGAGAAAAGGAAGCTCGGCATGCAGCCAAGATTCGAGAGCGCACGCGGAAGCGGGCAGCTGCTCGCAAGGAGAACCAAGGTGCTGGTGCCGAGTCCAGCGTGGAGGCAGCGACCACGGCGAGTGGAGGGTGTGAGGCCGCGGGGGCCGGGGTGAAGAAGGCCGCGGGGGCCAAGGAGAAGAAGCTGAAGAAGGCCGCTGGAGCCAAGGCGAGGAAGGCTGTTGGTGGGCCGCTCGCAGAGGCCCTCCAAGCAGCCATGGCTGAGGCTGCTGCAGACTCTATGGAGACAGCGCCCGCAGCAAGCAGTGTTGCGCCGTGCGGCTCGTGCAGTGGCGCTGGAGCGCCGGCTAGTACGTCGAGGGAGCATGTAGCCGCTACCACGGCACATTGCTCTCGTGGCATTATACCGGGGGGCCTTAGTGACACGGGTTCAACATCTCGCACCACCGACCAGGCTGCAGCTCAGATCTTGACGGAACTTGTAAGCCGTGCTGTCGATGGAGGCGTGCATCACCCAGAGGTCAAGAGGGCTGCTGGTAGGACTGGCAAGGCATCTCGTAGCGCCCAGACTGCTGCAACTGACCAGCATGTCACGGCACGTACGCATGTACCTCGTGCCACCGAACAGGATCACCGAATGTGAAGATACAGTCATCGAACTGGGCACTTCTGACACCGATGAATCGTCAGATGGTGACGTGTATTACCCAATATACGGTAAGTATTACAGCAGCAAGCAGGTGACGGTAACATCGGACTATGCAACTACGAAAATGACCTGGAGAGTGGCCCGTATCAACGACCGCCGCAGTTCTCCTCGTGGTCCAGAGTACCGTGTGCTATGGCTCAGCCGTCTGCTCGTCAACCGACGCTACTATCAACGTACTTGGGAGCCTCTTCAGCAACTTTTGGACGATGGTTTCGCCAACGAGGTGGACCTCGTGGATCGCTGGAAGGAGTCTGGCGTGGAGAAGTTCTGGCCCAAGGACGAGTTCGGCAAGCGTGCAATTGGTGCTGACGCTCGTGGCCTGTGCATGTTCAATGCACTGAAGCGTGCGACCGAGCTTGCTGGACGCCCGGACATCGTCACGCAGGTTGATATCGACACGTTTGTGGCTGATGAACTCCGAGAGCCTGGAGTGGACCTCACAGGGGGTCCTTCGTGGAAGGTGGTGTTACGGTTCCTGCGCCGCCTGAGGGATGCTGGCCGGGATTTCATCTTCAAGGCCATCGCCAAGAACAACTTCACTATTGCTGGACGGCGTGGAGCACGTGTGCTGGAGGAAGTGCCTCTCTACAACGGACTTTACTTCGTTGTTGCCTAAAACCACGGTTTAGTGGGGCACGCGTTCGTGCTAAGCGTCCAAGGGAAGGAGGGCAAGGTTCGGCGCATCTACGACTTGAAGGAGCCCAAGCCAGTGGCGTCGGCGATGGACTGGATTACCTTCGTGGCCTGTATTCGGCCTTTCATTGTCTTTAAGAAAAGTAGGTAATTAGGAACCACGTTTGCTTTATCGAAAATACATTTCCCAGTAAAAAAAAATGTGTCTGCATGGATATAGGGAGTCATATGCCTAATATAATTCGGTACAAAACCAGGGAAACCTCAGTGAGGAGAAAACCTTAGTGCGAACAAAAGATAAAACCCAGTGGGAAAAAACTAAAGGAACGCAATTGAGTAGACACGCTTCATGCATTAGTGTTATTCTCGTACACTATACGGAATGGCTTAATCAAGCGTCAAGGGATTTCATCCTGAACTTTGCCCTTAGTTCTCTAAACTGATGCTTGTCTAAAGCTTTAGTAAATATGTCAGCAACCATAGTTTTGGTATTGCAGTAAGCGACGGAGAACTCGTGTCGCTCGACTTTTTCCTGCACAAAACAGTATCGAACGTGAATGTGCTTCGACCTCCCGTGTAGTTCGGGGTTATAGCAGATCTTAATGCAGCTTTGATTGTCATCGTGAATAACATTGGCTTGCGTTGTGCCAAAACCTAACTCTTTGAGGAGCAGTTTGAGGAAAATCATTTCTTGCATGCAGTGACACAGAGCGATGTACTCTGCCTCTGTTGTAGAGAGAATTACCGTGCGGTGTTTGCGCGAAAGCCATGAGATCGGACCGCTCGCAAGCATAGTCACATATCCAGCGACAGACCGTCTCGTGTCGGGGCAGTTGGCATAATCAGAGTCGCTGTAAGCTGTCAGCTTGTCGGCCAGGTTCTCGGGTGTACCATCGAGAGATCCGCCAAGGAGAAGACCGTAGTCCTTAGTCCCTAATAGATATTTCAGACCTCTAACTACTGGTTTCCAGTGTTCCATTCCCGGATTAGCTAGGAATTGGCTGACCTCACGCATGTAGAATGACAGGTCGGGTCTCGTGCCTACCATGAGATACATGATACTGTCAACGGCTTCGCGATACGGAATATATTTCATCGCATCTTTCTCTGCCTCACTACTAGGCTGGCTGCTTACGGAGAGTTTAACGTTCTGCTCTGCTGGGGTTGCTATAGGGTACGGAATGTAGTCGCTGAAGCGGTCAAGGACCTTCGTAGCGTATTTGTGTTGGTGGATAAAGATCGCTCGGTTCTTATGGTCACGTTGAATAGAAAGACCAGCCGAGTAAGTACTTCACCTCCCCTAAATCTGTCATAGAGAACCGCTTTTTCAGGGCGGATTTCAATTCGTTTACGAGGGCTGGTGTAGGCGCAATGATCAGGTGGTCGTCAACATACACAGCAATGTAGCATGTAACACCATCAACAGTGCGTTTGAACACACAGCTGTCCTTAATGAGTTTGTGGAACCCTTGGCTTTCAAGAAAGGCCGACAACGTTTTGTACCATATACGGGGAGCTTGTTTCAACCCGTACAAGCTCTTTAGGAGTTTGCACACTAGGTGCTCCTTACCGGGGACTTTAAAACCTTCCGGCTGAGCCATGTAGATCTCCTCCTCTAGCAAACCATCGAGAAATGCTGTCTTTACGTCCATTTGGTGGATTTCAAGATCAAGCAACGCTGCAATGGTAAGAAGGAGTCTGAGTACCTCCATCCTGATAACAGGTGAGAAAATCTCGTTGTAATCAATGCCATATTCCTGAAGGAATCCTTTGAGCACTAGACACACTTTGAAGCGGTCAATTTCGCCTGTGCCGGTATATTTCACTACAAAGACCCATCGGCAGGTTAAAATCTTCCTTCCTTTCGGAGGGGGTACCAGAACCCAAGTTTGGTTGTCCATGTGGGACTTATATTCTGCTTTAGCTGCTTTACACCACCGATTAGCGTGCGCCGATTTCATAGCCGCTCGATACGTGGTGGGCTCGGTTACATACCGAATAGCTAGCAGTGTATAGAGCAGTTTTCTACGTTGCTCTTGCTCCTGCAAATCTTCCTCAGAATTGAGGGTTACTTCCGTGTCATCGGTCATGACACGGGGGGCGATGGAGTTTCAGAGGATGTCTCTGTTCGGAACGAGTAATGTATTTGTGTCCTGTCGAGCGCCTCCCTAAGGGGTGACAGCCGGCGCTTAGCTGCAGGTGGTGATGTCGTTGCAGGTACAGGCTCAATCGACTCCGTGGGGGCATGCTGCTCTGACTCGATCGCAGGCTGTTCTGGTGTTTCCGTCAGGTTAGCCAGGGAAGGATACTCGTCTTCCTTAAATATGATATCTCGGCTGCAGACAATGGCATGGGAGTTGAGATCCATTAACCCCTCTAACCCAGTATTCTGTATCCTACAGAATCAGCATTGCCACAGGACATAATATCCAGCAAACTTGTCCTCTCTTTCGAAATTCGCATATGGATGTTTGTATAGCCGGTATTGTGCACATCTTCCTGTTAGATTAGCGATGGGAAGATAGACGGGGTTTATTCCGCGGTAATAGACGGACGAGTACAAACCACCAACAGGTTTGAAAATTCGGGTGGAAGCCTAAAACCGCCGCGTGTCAGCTACTCGTACTTTCCTTCATTCCGAAACTGCGCTGTTCAAGACGTCGCAATGCAAGCTTTGTTGGGGCCCGTCGAGCGCGCCCAAGTGGCCAAGGACCATGGCCGAAGACGATCATGATGAGCGCCATTGTGATCTAAAGGTAAGCGAGAGCGTGTACTTTGCTCTGTAACATTGTACTAGTGGTATATTGATTCTACGTTGCGATGTTGATTACCAGACCTGGTGATCCGACCCAGACGACGCTATGAGCTCTCGCGTGTGGCCCGATTGGCAGATCGATTGCGGAGTCAGCGCACAACCTCATCGGTTCCTACGAAGCCGGCTACAGCCGGGTCTACCGCTATATTGTAGCTGATGCAGTGGCTACTCAAGAGGCTACAGAAGAAGCGCTCCTCATGGTGTGGCTACACCGGAGACTACAGAAGAAGCGGTAGATGCTACGGCGGATGCTACAGAAGAAGCTCTCCGCGTGATGAGGTTACACCGGAGATTACAGAAGAAGGGACAGAGGCTACGACGGAGGCTACCGATAAAAGCGGCAGGAATGAAGCGGCAGTGCCGGAGGCTACAGAGAAAGCGGAGGCTGCCAAAATGGCGAAGATGACCCACGGCTGGCGCGAACATTGAAGAGCGTGCGCATGTAAAGGAAGAAGTAGACGTTGGCATGAATATCATATATTGTCCTGTTTCGTACAAGAGGAACCGTGTGTAGTGCGTGTCATTACGGGCTATTGAGCATGCAAGCTCCCTAGTGTTGTTAGAGAGACAATCGTAACAAGCTTGTTAGGTGGGCTAAAGAAATCTAATGATGCGCTAATGTCAATCACATGGAAGAATTCGCCCAGTTCCTCCTCCCTACGTCAGTTAGGAAGTGGGCAATTTCTTCCTCCGCGTTTATCGCGACGTGCTGAAGATGGGTGGCTGGAGCCGAAGTATGCTGCCTTAGCAGCCTTGCAAGGTATTACCATGTAGCAGGTTTTGAGCGTGCTCTACGCTCGCCACGACCAATAGAAGCTCGCCATTTCGGCATATGGTGGATATATTGAGCATGTTTTGTTCACTTTCGTAGCTGCTCTGTGCACAATGTACCCAGCGCTTGACCGCAAGATGCGGAAGGGCTTCCAACAGCAAATCTTTGACAGGTTTTGAAGTATAATTTAATCAAGTCTAATGTTGATTCTGTAGGATACAGAATAAGGTCTGGGGCTAGAAGGGTTAAGCGATCGCCCTTCTTGTGGTCGGGGACGCCTAGATACATGCACAGCCGTGCTCGAGCATCGAGCTTGTCGCGGTATTGCTCTGCAATATGAACGTACGCGCTACACCCAAACACCTTCATGTACTTGTGAGATCGGGAAATGACTGCGGCCGGGCGAGTTCCGACCGAGGTCTAACTGCCTTGAGCTTGCGAGTGATGGCTGACCGAGGGCTCTGATTGGTCGGTCACATTCCCCGCGCTTTAGTGCCCAGATGATTGATAGATACTACGGAGTGACAGGAGGGTCTCGGCGGGTCAAAATAAACCGCCTGCCGAGGCCTCTGAAGTTTCATAGTGGGTACACTTTATGCGCAGTAGGAGTTCGGATTTAGAACGAAGTTTTGTCCAGCTCGAAAGCTCGGTCCACACTTGATATTTGTATAGACCTTAGGGGTTAGCTATAGGAGAGGCCTGACAACCTCTAATAATTAAACAGAGCAGAATTTTTCCCCCAAACCACACAAGAGTCAAGTCCGTCTATGGTAAGTCGCTTAGCTTAGCGTAGGGTCTGGATACACTCGGCTGCACGGGGTATGTCTGCCGGTGAGCATAAGGTGCATTGACCGAGTGTTCATCCTGGTAAGGCCAAGAGTGAGTAGGTGGCCGAGTGTTGGGAGGTATTAGAGACCTCCGTGTACAGTTGTACGTTTGACTGGGTGTGAGGCAAGGACCCCCCAGTGTATTTGACTTCTAGCCGAGGCTTGTGTAAACCGGCGGCGTAAGCGTCGCGTGGAGCTTCGTTGCGTGCTCCGCTTGCGTCGCGAACCTTCGGACTCACGCGCAATACGGTCGGCTCGACCTAGGAGTCACCATGTGCGAGTCTTGGAAGTACGGCGAACCTTCGGTCTTGGCGGAGAACACTCCGTCCGTCGCTTGGCTTTGATTTGACCGCTCGGCGGACTTCTTGGGTGTCTGTGGCAGTGGGATCTTCGAAGGATCAGCGTTCTCCCTCGCGGGGCGGGCACTCGGGGGGGGCGTCCCAGAGTCAGGTCCGACTCCCCGAAGCTCAGGCGAAGCTTCCTCTTCCACTTATGCAGCTCCTTGCCGGCGAGACCCGGCGTCCAACTATTGTTCGAGACTTCGGACGGACGAGTCCTTGGCTCGCAGCCCATCGCTCGTAGGAGGGACACCGTGTCCTCGGCCACCTGAGTAACCGAGGTCGACTCAACAGGGTGTTGCAACTCCTCCTTCAGCTCAGCCCAAGTCGGTTGACGCGTCATCTCGGGATTGAACTGCCATATCCATTCGCTCGACTCCACCATCTGCTCGAGCATTCTGCCGAGCACCTTGTTCGCAGCTGGAGTGTTCATAGCGGGCCGACTTCCGCAGGATTCTTGAGGACCCTTAGTAACCTGCACCAGAGCCTTCGAAGCCGAGGGCTTGGTGCCATCCTCAAAGTCGTCATCCGCATGGTCGGGTTTCGCCACTTCATCAAATTCCGCGACGAGGTTCCGGGACAAGGAGCGCGAGCCTCCGCTACGTCCCGCGGACAGCATCGCATTTCTTCATCTCCGAACTCCTGCGTCGTCGCTGGAGTCTTCTCCTCCAGGTCACCATAGTCCATCATCATGTCATCCTTGGCGTCCGGATCTTCGTCGGCCGACTCTTCGAAACTGACCGACCTTTCGGAGATCGTCGACAACCGAGACGTTAAGTCACTCGCGATCGTTGACGAACCTTCGGGCGATCCTCGTCCCGACTTCACCGGCGTAGCTGGTACCGCTGACTTGAATCCTTTCTCCATCTTGTTCTTGTTCTTGTTTCTTCTTCTCTTCTTCATTTCTTCTCTCCTCAATGCTCGTTGGGCAAAACCTACACAGACCACAACACACAATCGGTCACACCAGTCCCGGGTCGCGGCACCAGTTGTCGTGTAGGAAAACACGAGTTTACGAGTCCTCCCCCTATCAACCGAAGTCTCTAGGACGAGCCCTACCAACAACACACGCCGTCTCCGAGGAGTCGGCGTAGATTGTCGGGATAATAAACCTGAAGACCAGGTCCGATCCCTTATACGGGCTGGAATGTGCCTCCCTGTGTGTTGCGGGTCAGGTAGGTTTACCCTTCGTTAAAATATAAGAGCACCCTTAGCCACGAGCTACGGCTAGGATGCAATGTGTAATACATGCTTTCGCACTAAACCTCTGTGGTCCCTCAGAAAGGAAGGGTACCAGGCCAATCGAAGCCTCTTACAGGGGCACCGGGGCGAGATCAGGGTATTCAGACAGTTCGTTCGTAGTATAACTAGCTCGCCCATGCAATTCAGTAGTCGTTTGTCCTTCTTCAGCTGTTCTCCATAGTTTCCCCAGTTGTGATCTCCACTTCGTAAAGTCTTGTCCACTTCAACATACAAATATACAATCTTCTTCCCGCAGTAACTTGTTTCTTCTGCTGGGGCAAGCTGCGTAGCCCTGCCGGCAGTTCATCATGGTGAGAGGGATGCAACTTGTCCTCGTCAGCGACTTGGACCATTTGCAACCTTCGGTCGCGTCGTTTCTCGCGTAGATAGTCATACAGCAGTCCGCCGCAAGACAGATTCGACGCGGGCTCCCACGAGGGTTCGTCATAGCCGACCCACTTCACCTTGACCTCTCGGACGGCTCGCTCAGTGCTCGTCGAGAGCGGAATTCGGTCATCCAAGATGGCTTCAACCTCATACTCGCCTGCCAGGTGGTCGGGTTCCCAACTATCCTCCGGGAGTAACTCCTCGTCGAAATCCAGTCGCGTCTCCTCGGTTACTTCAGCAGCAAGTCGAGCCTTCGGCCGATCGCCAAACTCGTTCACCGCCTTCAACCGGGGCACATGCACTACCGGGTAGAACCGGTAACCACTCTTGTCAGGCAAATCCAATTCGTACGCATACTCGTCAACCTTCTGCTTGATGCGGAAGGGACCATGCCATCGATGAGCCAACTTCTTGGTCAATCCTGGCTTGACGCGTTCCATGTAAAGCCACGCACGATCACCAGGCTGGAAGAGAGACTTCGGTGCGGGGTCTGGTGTGTCACCCTCACCTTCTGCACCTGTCGGATCATCTTCCGAGGTTTCACCAGTCGCGGAAGGTGGAAGCGCAGCACGTTCTACTCGGCTCAAAACCTCGTTATGCTTTTGGGCACGCCGAGCTTTCTCGACTGCCTGGTACTCTTTAGCCATTTCCAACGCAACCTCCTGTTGCCTGTTGACCTCTCGTCACCGCGCCAACGCATCGGACTGTCGCCCGACACCTCGCTTCAGTGATGAGGACATTGCTCGGAGGGTGGACCTTGCGTCCCATCCGTGCACCAAGTAAAAAGGCGTGTCCTTCCTCGTGGCGTCCTGCGAGTTGTTAATCGCAAAGATCAACTTCTCCACAATCTCATCCCAGTCTTGTTGCAGCGGGTCCTTCGCGTACACTCGCACCGATTGCATTACGGTCTTGACCGAGCGTTCCTGCTGGCCGTTAGCCTGCGGCCGATAGCTCAACGTAGCCCTAGATCTCGACTGCATCATCTCGGCGAAGGTTTGGAAGACCTCGCTCATGAAGCGCGGGTCTCGGTCATGTCTGATCAGAGACGGCGCTCCGGACCTTCGGTACACGCACTCTTCGAATGCTTGTGCTACACAGAGTGCAAATGTGTCCGCCATCGCCTTGCCCATGACGAATCCAGTGAACGCACACTGAAACAGTAGCAGTGCGATATTGCCCCGCCGAGTCTTCGGTAGGGGTATCACAAAATCCATCGAGACAATTTGTAGCGGACGCTCGGCCAGAATGTTGCCTGGGGAGTACCCACGTAGCTGCGGGCGACTCTTGCTTGAGCTACAGTCCGGACACGAACGTACGTGCGTCTCCACATCAGCGAATAAGCCAATCCAATAGTAGTCAGCCTTGACTCGGTGGTAGGTTCGGACGATACCTTGGTGACCGCCCTCCAACGAGTCATGACAGTTCTGTAGGATCTCCTGAACCATCGTTGTTGGGACCACTAAACGTAGTGTTGTCTCCTCGGTCCGGTCGCGACCCCACCGACGGTTCGCACCAAGGAAATACAGCAAGCCCTCCTCGCTTAACATGAACTTGTCAGCCATCTTCCAGGTTTCGCGTGCAGCTTTGTAGGCAAGCTTCGCTTCTTCTCCCTTTAGCACCGTCTTGAGGTTTGACCACCGGAGTTCCTCATCTTGAGCTATGACAATGCGCCTGCGCCGTTCTTCCTGCACAACTAGTGGGTCGATGTCGTCAGCACTCGGTTCATCGGCCACCGTTGCGTCAGGTCTCGGCTGGTCCGGAAGTTCGTTAGACACTTCGTTGCTGATGTCATTAGCTTCGTCTCCTTCGGTTCCCTCTTCTGGTTCATCACCCGAAGTTTCATCGGTAAAGCGTACTTGTTTCGCACGCGCGCGGGCTTGTTGCCTCGTTACCGCGGCAACAGTATACCGTACAAAATCGAAAAATCCTTACTACAGTCACTGTCACGCGTATCCATCACACGTATCGAGTTCACGTGACGCGTTACGACTTCTCCAGAGGCTTCAGAGGCTTCGGCTGACGGTTCATAGAGCACTTCTCGGATCCGATTCAATTACATCAACTCTCGTTTTCGGTCTTCGCTGTTCACCGTCATCGACACCTTCTTCTCCAAGGTTTCGCTCGCCAAAGAGTCTGCAGCTGCATTGAACTCTCATATAGCATGTAGGTACTTCATGGACCGAAGTCTCGCGGTCAGTTCCTTGTGCTTGTTCAGTTGTGCCGTCGGCGACTCCTTACGGCAAGCGATCACCCCTAGGGATTGCTGGATTGCGAGTCTCGAGTCCCCGACGATGACTAAGTCCTCGGCCCCATGTTCTAGGGCGGCAGAGACCCGTTGTTCATTCCGGTGTACCCAACGAGGTTTACAGTCGTGGTCTCGAGATACGCACTCGCAGCGATCACTACACTCCATTCAGGAAGTCGCCATAGTATCCAGGCGCAACTGCCGTAGCCACCATGCTTCTCGGTCTTTGCCGAGCCATCAAACGAAAGTACGTAGCCACTGTAGGTAGGTGGCAACCGTGCATAAAGCAAATGCGGATCCATCCGAACACTCGGCGAGCCTTTGGCTCGAGGGGTCACTGGTGCCAACGAGTCTTCGAGGTCAACGAAGCTTGTGATCGTCGACTGCAAAAGCTGCGCGAAAGCGCAATCCTTTTCCTTGACTCGTTGCACCACTAGACTCCATGGAGACAGTAAGACGGCAAATTGCGTTGCACGTCCGAAGAGTGTCTTCGACTTGTGGACCCAGTCAAGCGTCGAAAACCGCCTGTAGACATGTATGGTCCGACTAGCCAGCTGGGTGTAACACACCTTCAACAGCTGCAGCAAAACCAGTACTTCCTTTTCCGCCGGGTGGTAGTTCTTCTCGGCGTCCTTGAGCACTCGGCCGCAGAACCGCACCGGGTGCATCAGGCCATCGTGCTCCTGCATGAGCGTGGTGCTCACTGCCCATTCATTTGCAAACAGAGTCACATGGACCTCTCGATCACGGTCGAAGTGTCGGAGGACCGGTGCCTCACCGACCTTTCGTTGCAATGCCGCGAAGCTTCGCTTGGCTGCAGAGAGGTCACCCCCTGGTGCGAAGTCTTCGTCTCACAGCTGGTAGAGCGCGGCACCATAGACAGCAAAGTCCTGTATGATGCGACTGTAGTTGTTCAGAGCGCCAAGCAAAGCTTGCACTCCCTTCTTGGACCTTGGAAAGGACAGCTCGGTGATAGCCTTCAACTTCTTAGGGTCCGCTCTAATACCACTCCGGGACACTTCGTGAGAGAGGAAGTCCACCTTGGGCTGCACGAAAATGCTCTTGATGAAACTCATGCTGATCCGACATTCTTCGAACCGGGCGAGGAGTCGATCGAGCGTCGCAAGACATGCATCGAAAGACTCGCCACCAAAGCAAATATCATCGACAAACGAGCGCCGTTCAAACACCGGTACCAACGAAGACTCGTCGGGCTCTCCGTCCGCAAACATGTCCGCAATAGGACTGTTGATTAATTCCGAGACCGAGCTTTCGCTCGATCCGAGTCCAAGTCCCGCTTCAAACTTCGTAGGCGACTGGTCCGGGTCGGACGACTCTTCATGTGACTGTTCGTTCGAGGCGTTGGCGAGTTCACGGTCGCGTGCTTCAGCTTCGGCCATCAGACGCGCGTAATGCTTCCAGCCACCCTTCGGTTGAACAAAGCCCCACAGAGCGTTGTCGAGCATTCGTTGGTAGATCATAGGTGCATGTTTAAGCCCAAAGGGCATTCTGAGCCATTCGAAGTGACCCAGTGCACACACAAACCCAGAAATCTGACGAGCCCTCTGTGTCATCATGATCGTCCAGAATCCACTCGCCGCATCAAGCGAGCAGTACCACAGATACTTCTCCAGGTCTGTGAGCAGATCATCCACAAGGGGCATTGCATACTCCATGATAGCGGTGACTGCGTTCACCATCTTGTAATCAATGCACAGTCTGATATCTACGCCATTCTTCTTCAGCACAATCACGATCGGTGACGACCATGGGCTGTTGGAGGCGCGATCAGACCTGCCTTGAGCAAACCTCGCAAGAGCTCGTAAAGCTTCTTGAGGTGTCGGAGGGGAATCCTCCGTGTTCGTTGCTTGATAGGGGCATGGCCCTGCACATCGATGTCGCAAACTACACCGTACGCAGGCGGTGGTAGAGCATTGCCACTAGAGATCATGATCTTCTCATGTTTCTTCAGAACCTTCACTAAGCGATCCTG